TGTCCTTCTTTTAAATACCTCCAGGGATGGGGACTTGACCACCTCCCTGGGCAGCCCATTCCAGAGCCTGACAACCCTTTCGGTCAAGAATTTTTTCCTAATGTCTAGCCTAAACCTGCCCTGGCGCAACTTCAAACCATTCCCCCTCGTCCTATCGTCCATTACCAGGGAGAAGAGGCCAACCCCCACCTCACTACAGCCTCCTTTCAGGCAGTTGTAGATGGCGATAAGGTCTCCCCTCAGCCGCTCCTCATAAGACTTGTGCTCTAGACCCCTCACCTCTGGACTCTCCTCTGGACAAGTTCCAGCAATGCAACCTCTTTCTTGTAGTGAGGGGCCCAAAACTGAACACCGTATTTGAGGGACGGCCTCACCAATGCCGAGTACAGGGGCACGATCACTTCCCTACTCCTGCTGGCCACACTGTTCCTCATACAAGCCAGGATGCCATTGGCCTTCTTGGCCATCTGGGCACACTGCTGGCTCATATTCAGCCAGCTGTCGACCAGCACCCCCAGGTCTTTTTCCACCAGGCAGCTTTCCAGCCACTCTTCCCCAAGCCTGTAGCATTGCCTGGGGTTGTTGTGACCAAAGTGCAGGACCCAGCACTTGGCCTTGTTGAACCTCATACAGTTGGCCTGGGCCCATGGATCCAGCCTGTCCAGGTCCCTCTGCAGAGCCCTTCATTAATGATCTGGATGATGGGGCAGAGCATATCTGCAACAAATTTGCTGATGACACCAAACTGGGATGAGTGGCTGATAGACCAAAGGGACCTCGAAAGGCAGGAGAAAGGGGCTGACAGGAACCTCATGAACTTCAACGAGAGGAAGTGCAAAGCCCTGACCCTGGGGAGGAACAAGCCATTGTGCCAGCACAGCTTTGCAGAAAAGGCCCTCAGGGTCCTGGTAGACAGACATGAGCCAGCAACGCACCCTCATGGAAAAGGGACTAGCAGCATCCTGGGCTGCAGGTCAAGGGACCCGATCCTTCCCTCTATTCAGCACTGGTGAGGCCACAGCTGGAGTGCCGTGTCCAGTGCTGGGCTCCCCACTATGAGAGAGATGCTGACATGCTGGAGAATGCAACAAAGGGCCACTAAGACAATGAAGGGACTGGAGCATCTCTCCTATGAGGAAACACTGAGAGAGCTGGGACTGTTCAGCCAAGAGAAGAGAAGGCTCAGGAGGGATCTCATCAATGCGTATAAATACCTGAAGGGTGGGTACGAAGAGGACAGAGCCAGACTCTTCTCAGTGGTGCCCAGTGACAGGACTGGAGGCCACGGGCATGCACGGAAACACAGGAGGTACTGTCTGAGCAGAAGGAAACACTTCTTTGCTGTGAGGGTGACTGAGCACCAGCACAGGCTGTGGAGTCTCCCTCCTCGGAGATATTCCAAAGCTGTCTGGACATGGCCCTGGGCAACTGGCTCGGGGGGACCCTGCTCGAGCAGGGGGGTTGGACCTCCAGGGATCCCTGCCAACCTCAACCCTTCTGTGATTCTGC